TCGCGGATAAAAGCAGATATTTGCGGATAAAATCAGATGTTTGGATATAAAATCAAATGTTTGGGGATGAAAGCAGATGTTTGCGGATAAAAGCAGATGTTCGCGGATAAATTGAGATGTTTGCGGATAAAAGCAGATGTTCGCGGATAAAACCAGATATTTGAGGATAAAATCAGATGTTTGCAGATAAAAGCAAATGTTTGGGGATGAAAGCAGATGTTTGCGGATAAAAGCAGATGTTCGCGGATAAATTGAGATGTTTGCGGATAAAAGCAGATGTTCGCGGATGATTGCAGATGTTCGCGGATAAAATGAGATGTTCGCGGATAAAAGCAGATGTTCGCGGATGAAAGCAGATGTTTGCGGGTGGTTGCAGATGTTTGCGGGTGATTGCAGATGTTCGCGGATAAAAGCAGTTGTTCGCGGGTGACTGCAGATGTTCGCGGATGAAAGCAGATGTTCGCGGATAAAAGCAGATGTTGGAGGATAAAATCAGATGTTCGCGGATAATTGCAGATGTTCGCGGATAAAATGAGATGTTCGCGGATAAAAGCAGATGTTCGCGGATGAAAGCAGATGTTTGCGGATAAAAGCAGTTGTTCGCGGGTGACTGCAGATGTTCGCGGATGAAAGCAGATGTTTGCGGATAAAAACAGATGTTCGCGGATAAAATGAGATGTTCGCGGATGAAAGCAGATGTTCGCGGGTGATTGCAGATGTTCGCGGATAAAAGCAGATGATTGCGGGGGTGCACTAACCGGATGAAATCAGGCGTTCGCAGATAAAAGCATGTTTGTGGGTGAAACCGTATGAAAACAGATGTTTGCGGATAAAACTAGACGTTTGCGGATGAAAGCAGATGTTCGCGGGTGATTGCAGATGTTCGCGGGTGATTGCAGATGTTCGCGGGTGATTGCAGATGTTCGCGGATGAAAGCAGATGTTCACGGATAAAAGCAGATGTTGGCGGATAAAATCAGATGTTCGCGGATGAAAGCAGATGTTCGCGGGTAAAAGCATATGCTCGCGGATAAAACCAGACGTTTGCAGATAAAACCCGACAAAAATAGACGAAAAAAAATGCAGGTAATCGCGGATAAAAACAGACGTAAGCAGAAGTTTGCAGATGATTCCGGACAAATTCAGATATAAACGAAACACAGTGAAGACGGTTAAAAACAGATGATTGCAGATGATTGCGGGGGTGCACTAACCGGACATAAAACACAACCAACCGGGTGTTCGCGGATATAGCGATGCGGACAAAAGCAGATGTTATCAGATGATATTTTTACCCGCTTTTATCTGCTTTTATCCGGCTTCGACGAAGAATTTACACCCGCAATCATCTGCTTTTATCCGATTTTGACGAAGAATTTATATCTGCAATCATCCGTCATTTTCAGTAGGGTATTATTATAATTATAATATAATTAATTAATCTTTTACAAGAACAAACACTTGAATTAAATTTCCACCAATTTCAACAAAATTTCTTTGTTCTTTTCAGAGGCTTTAAGCCGTAATTTTCGTTTTTCATATATTCTAATGCAAATTTAGATACTTAAAAACACAACAAAACACATTGCAAACTGAGAACGTAATCCAATTGTTTATGTTTTATATTGCGGCACTTCTTCAAACCAATATTTTGTCAATAATAAGGTTAAAACGGTATAGGTAAAGGTATAAACGATCCCATTGCCCACCATGAGTTAAATCAGTCGCGCGCGTTGGCTAGCTCGCGTAAACGCGACCTCCAAACGCACGCGAGTGACTCCTAAACCCGTCATTAGAGCCCCTAACTCTATTTACGCGCGCGGGAAAGAAAAATCAACGTGCCAAAAGCACTTTATCTAATCTATGGCCAAAAGCATGGCGCGACACGATGGTAGGGTATACCAAAGGATTTTACCCAAGGATTTGACACACAAAGTGTAAAATCCTTGGGGTATACCGCTGACTTATAATGGGTCCATATTTCCTAAATACTAAAATAATAAATTAAATAAATATAAAGTTTTGTTTATACGATATAATTATTAATTAATACAATTACAGTTACAATTAATACAATTACAGTTACAGTATGTAATTTTTTATTATTATTAAATCGGTTGACCCCACCTGGATCCGACGGTCATATTTTGCATAATATAATTTATAAAGAATTTTAATTCCAAATGGAGAAGCGATTTTATTTCACTATGAGGGTGGGTGATTCGTAACATTAACCGTTGTATTAATTCTAGAATACAATCTAAAATTCTGATTTTTTGCAGACTTATACCTACACTGAGAAAAAAGTTTATTGTTCCCAAATAAAAAAAATATTTAAATATGGGACGAGGGTACAGTTTATTTATCCTAAATATATTTTTATTCCCGACACATAAAGTTTTACTAAAGTATATTTATCGTTATTATTTCGACTATTTAGAGGTAATAAACAATATATTCACTATTAATAAAAGTATTAGCTACACAGTTTATTTGTCCCATTTTTTCTCAGTGTACTTGAAATGTGAGCGCGCATTCTCGTCCCAGCCGTCGAGTGAAGAAGTCGACGCAGCAGAGGCAGAGTAAACGTAAAACGTATAACGATAAAACCATAACCAACAAATAAACCTTCATAGTGCAAACTACTATAGTGTAAAAAAATACTGTGAGTACAGACTACAATACGGTCAATAATTAGTTGACGGCCAAGTGAAAAGGAGGAGTGAAGTGACAGGTGCAGGCGAACATAGTGAAACGGTCAAAAGTTTTAAGCGTTGAGTGACAAGAAAGTGTCGAGTGACAAGTGTCAGTGCCTGAGCGGTCGCACCATTGGTCAACAGGTCGATCTCCACAGGCCAAACAAAAGAGGACATACAAGGGAGGAACAGGCCACCTGCAAATATTTGCTAAGTATTTCCAATTCTTCCGCATGACCTAACACATAATTTGCAAATTGAACTAAACAAGGCACATTGCCTAACTAAAAAAAACAATAATCATCGGCATTAAATAAATAAAAGTCAATTTTCCAAGAAAAACCAAACAGCCGATCGCGGACACGCACCAAAGTTGAACAGGGCAATAAAGCTGTCAACATAACAATTCAAGTAAAATAAACCGAGACCAAATAAATTTGACACTTAAGACATAAACAACATAAACTAAGAAAAATAAACAAAGTTAAAAAAAGCACTATAATCAAACTCCATGGAATTTGTAAACACTCTTGACTTCATAGTAAAAGTAAAAAAAATACCCCCCACTGGGAACTGCCTTATCGCAGCGATTGCACATCAGCTGTTTAACACGGTGATAGGTTCGTTACGCGAAACTGAAACAACAGCAGAGACTAGACAAATATTAAACAACCACTTACGTAATAACCTAGGAACGTACAGACCCTACATCGAGGACGCAATAAATGAACTAAGCAGTCGTTATAAACACATAAGTGACAAAACAGGACAAATTAATGCGTACCTAAACGACCACGGTAATTACGGCTTCTGGGCCGGACTGGAAACAATACTAGCCGCCTCAGACGTATACAACGCAACAACATACTACAAGCCACCCTTAAACTAGACCTTACAGACAAAAAAGTCGGGAGACCATGCTTCACATTTCATGACACGTTAGCACAAAACATGCACTTCTCACAAATTAACAAGACCAGTTGGGAGCAACTTAGCAACAATAAAAACAAAATAAAAAAAAACAACCGACACACTTTACCAAGTTCAGGAACTATCCGACACGGATAATGACAATAATGAACAAGACGAAGACCTCGACTAGGTAACTACACACTGCAGCAATAACAACTCCCCAACTCCAAATAGTAATCCCAAATGTTTGGAGTAATATTAATCGACTGGTCTAGGGGGATTCCGCGTCGTACTTAGTTTTAAGTCGGCGTAATTGTCCCCCAAAAACCAACACCCTCCCGTCCCTTCTCCATACCCCACTGAGCGTATAGCATAGGCTCGGCGAACCCGGGAATGGCTATTATAACTATTCGCCTCTCGCTCTCGAGCTCCAAATAGGGGACAGTACGAAACGCAATGGACATTCGCACCCAGCAAACACGGGTGAAGCCGCGAAGTTGCTGGGGAAGAACAAAAATCGGCGTAAGTAAACATAGGCCTGTACGGGGTTCGAGAGTCAAGAGGAAATGGGGCTGGTTATACGTCTCTTATACTCATACTCATACTCATACTCATACTCATACTCATACTCATACTCACTCATACTCATACTGTACTTGAAATGTGAGCGCGTCTAATACCAATTTAAACATTTTAAAAAATGTTATATTAGTAATTTTAATTTAAAATATAAACATCTCCGTTAGTTAACGGGTAAACTTTTAATTCAATTTTTCCAAAAACAAACAAAAAATCATTTTATTGATTTTTTTTTAAATAAAGAAATATTTGTTAAAAAAAATCATCCTTATAATTTAGCAAATTTATGTTGACTTGTCATACTAACCATTTTCTATTGTAGTTAAGTACTTTTGTCACTCGATGACGTCAGAGGATAAAGAGAGACGGAAGGTTAAGATGCGCGTGGACATACCTTAGTACCATGACTTGACACCATAGATATCTAGGCTTGACACACAGAACATAAGACTTGACATTTAAGTAAAAGTGAAAGTGATTTAGGTACTTTTAAATTAATTTTTCAATTCGGACTTTAGTAATTACCTACTTTTAAATTTATATTTTTAATGAATATAAAAATTATTTATGCACATGATATTTTTAAATCCAGCGCCACGTTAGAAGATCTTAGATAGATAACCTAATAAAACAAAAACCCTAATTTTTATCATGGCCATTTGAGAAATTGACATTTTTTGTTAAATTCTGTCACTAAATAAAAAGGTAAGTTGTATAAACTTAAAATTCTAATTATTCTTAATGATTTGGTCCAAAGTTCTATTATTCCTGATAATGCCAATAAAGTCATTTACATTATCATTAACAAAATGGCGTGAAAGCTATTGGGCTGTGAAAAAGTTTTTGTAGAATTAGTTGTTCTATACGATGCTTGTTATATTAAAAGGATTATTAAATTCCTTATTAACCACTTTAATTGTGATTTTTTTTATTCTCCTAGGTAATTAATACTGTTTGAAGTTATTGAAGGTTTTAGGGTTATATTTAATTGTTTTAGGGTGGTATATTGTGTGGAAAGTAATACTCTCCAGATTTAAATTTGTCAGAGAACTGGTGGGCAGTGTACGAGGAAAGAAAGAAGAATCAGAAGAAAAATCTAGCAAAACCAAAAGTAAAAAGCTACGAAGGGACTAACAATAATCATGAATATCCGTTGTGCAAAACCTGAGGACTTAATGAATATGCAGCACTGCAATTTATTGTGTTTGCCTGAAAACTACCAGATGAAATACTATTTTTACCATGGTTTAAGTTGGCCCCAATTAAGTTACGTTGCTGAAGATGAAAAAGGAAAAATTGTTGGGTATGTATCAATATTTAACTGTTTATGTTAAAAAGTGTGATGCCTGAAATCCATTTGGCCCATGCCATGCAATTCAACATTTTATTAATGTGGGTTCACGTTACTGAATGACAGGACACACTAGTAACATGTTACAATATGTCTTTTGATGGATATAATAATAAAATCAGTATTTTTACTTCTGTTAAACAAAATGGATTGTGCAAGTAGTCCATCTTAGTGGGAATCTGAAATAAAGGAGTGTGCTGTCACGATTTTATTAATTAAAAAAACAAAAAGAAAGTGCTAGGTAAAAAGCGTGAATTAAGACCCTAAAAAATATGGTATTTTTTTTGGTAAATGAGCTGGAATATCCACATTTTATATGTATTTTTAGATGTACCAAAACCAATTTAATTATTTACTTATTAAAACATTAAACGCACTAGGTGAGCTTTTAGAAACTACCACACGTAGCGCTGCCAACTAAGAAAAGCGATTTTCCTCACATCAAGTGGTAAAAAAAAACGTCAATAACGACTATTCAATGTTTTATTTTGTAACCAAATATTGGTGTTTAACAATTTTTTTTTGGTTTAAATGCCACTATGCCTCAGGACTGATTTAACAATGCCTCAGGACTGATTTAACAATGCCTCAGGACTGATTTAACAATTCCCTGCTGCTTTAAATTAAACCTGCTATTGTAATAAAGAATTATGGTTGTCTGTTTTTATTTTATTGAGAGTACTAAACTCTCTCCACACTTGCATTACAAAACGGAAGAAGCAGAAAAGTAGTATAATATAGTCCACTGGATGATCAGAAGAATCCTACAGAATTAGAATTAAAAGTAAGAATATTTTTAATTTTTAATCATACAATTTTACCTGCACCATAATAGACAAATCAGGATCCTTTATTAACAGCTAACTTTATTTAGTAATTCATCCATCATACAGTAATCCCTTTACCAATATTAGGTTTCTACAAAGTCAATTAACTAATTTATGTAATGTAGTAAATTACAAATATTAAATACCCAATAATCCTGATATTGATAAACACTAGGATGTCAAGTGGAAAATCACGGGAAAAGCTAAACAACAAAACAAAACTATGAACATGAACATGTAAAAATTTGGTTTAGATTTTAACGTACAGGGGGCGCTGGTGATAATTTAGTTTAAAATTTAACAATTTTTAAAGGGTAAATATTAATTATCTAAAGTAAGAAATAATTGTCTTTAAACATTTTACATGTAAGAATGCGAACACTCCGTTTGTGCTGCCATCTAGCGCTTCCGCATTTTCTTTGCTTTCTTCTCTAAAATAAATTAATTAAACATTGCTCTTTCGATATCTGAAGCCGGAAATAAAAAATAGAAATACAAAATTAAATAGGGACTGAAATTCTTACTTTACCTGGTGTTCTTTTCTGTGTTTATTTTAATTATTAATAAATTCAATTATTTTGTTTAATTTTCGTTACATGTGTATATATTTATGTATCATAATATATTATATTGTACATCATTTTACAATTTTCAATTATAGCATGTTAATTAAATATGATGTAAGTACTTCTCATTATTAAAAATAAAAATTATAATTATTATGTATTATATATATTTACTGGATTTATTGGATATACCTATAGCTGGATCTTCTTTCAGTTATTTTCAATACGCCTACGAAACTTGCGCAAGGTGCAAAATCTTTAAATTTTATTAATCCCCGACGTCAATGCTTTGCATTTTTAATAACCTATAATAATTATTATAATGACTAAGCCGGTTTTAATCAATAATATTTGGGTGACAGTGTTCTCATAATATTTCTAGTACACTTTTTTATGAATAAAAGTGTAACCTGCGTTTTACAAAAACTTTTTATTATGCGAAAAAATATTATTTTGATTGTTTAAAAAATGAGATTCCCATAAAAATAAAAATGAAATGTACTGAGTGCTTGAAAATTATGAAAATATAAGTATGAGTATTCTCTATTTTATAGAAAAATTTGATAAGAGATAACAGAGCCACTTTTACCACTAGGCATCATAGGTAATTGCCTATGGGCGCAATCAGAAAGGGGGCGCTGTGTGCCCCTGAACAATCTTAATACACTCACAGGCAAAATAATCGATCCACACAAATTTTCGATAAATTTCAATCGCAAATAATTTTTTTATTTGATGTCGGATTTAAACGAGTATTGTAGATAAATTAATGAAGAATCGCTCACATTTTAAAAAATTACTAAAAAATAGATGTACGTTTATAATATACAGGTTTTAAACAAAAATAAGTTTTTTGCCATAAGTAGAATGGCTAAACCGTATATTGTTCTAAATCAAATTTTAATTATCAAGTCACATCTATTCTGTACAAAAAAAGGTTGCTATATCCATCCATAGGCTATGGAGGATGACAGTGAAAGTTTCATCCCATACTTGGACATGTCATATACGGCTTTCAAAAGCTATCAAATTGTTTTTTGTAAATTAACATTTGAGGTGTCTTCTTACTTTTAAAAATGGATATGTCTCCGACTGAGGTTGCCAGAGCCATTGATTTAATTCAGGATTTAGTATTATGTGGCAAGTGTTTTAAACGTCACAATAAGTAAAATACAAAGGACAACATCAGTCTGAGAAATATCCATTTTTAAAAGTAAGAAGACACCTCAAAATTAACACATTAATTTACAAAAAACAATTTGATAGCTTTTGAAAGCCGTATATGACTTGTTCAAGTATGGGATATCCCATATCATATGATTCAACAAAACTGTCATCATCCTACATAGCCTATGGATGGACCATAGCAACCTTAGTTCTTCATACAGAAAAAATATTGGACATAAAATATTCCACAAAAATAAATATGTATATCAAGGTGAACCAAATACAAAACTGTTAAAAATAGATGTGACTTGATAATTACAACATCTAGAACAATATACGTTTTGCCACTCTACAGAGTGTCTTAAACTTATGGTAAAAAACATGTTTTTGTTTAAACTTGTATATTATAAAGGTACGTCTATTTATTAGTAATTTTTAAAATGTGAGTGATGCTCCATTAATTTATCTACAATATTCTTTAATATTTGTTTAAATCCGAAATCAAATAAAAAATTTAGTTGCGATTGAAATACATAGTTATTATGAAAGAGCAACTCAAGACTTAAATTTCGGGAATAGAGAAAACAAACAACAATTAATCATCGTACATGGCTTTATTGTTTTTTTAAAATATTCTCCATGAAGATCGACACACTTTTGCATGCACTTGAACCAATTTTCGAAGCATTTTTTTTCACTCCGATTGAGGCACCTCCAAAACATGCATTTTGAACGCATCAACCGCTTCTAAAGACCCACACAGTCGACTGCTGTTTACTTTCAGGTTCATACGCTTAGATCCATGATTCGTCACCTGTTACAATGTCATGAACATGTTTTGAAGCACCCCCATCGTATTTTTTAAGCATTTCTTTTGACCACTAGACCCGAGACCTTTTTTGATCGATTCTCAAATTATGTGGGATCCAACGGTAACAATTTTTTCTGAAGGCCAAATGTTCATTTAATATTGAATGTATGCTGGTCCCACTAATGCCCAAGGATGACCCAATCTCACGATATGTCACATGATGATCTTGCATTACCAGTTCAGGCACAGCATCAATGTTTTTTGCAAGAACGAGTGATTTTGGACGACCTTCACGAAATTCGTCGGTGAGCGAACCACGGCCACGATTAAATTCGGTACACCACCGATATTCACTTGTTTTTTATGGCACTTTGTCGCCAAAAGTCAAATTAAGTTCATCGATGCATTATTGTTGGGATAATCCACGGTAAAGTTGTAAAAATTATAGCACGAAAATGTTCACGGGTCAATTCCATTTTTTTGGCCGACATTAATTTTTCAAGTGACTGTTAATAATACTAATGCGCCCGCACGTCAAAACGTGTTAAGTAAGAACACCGTCTAAAAGGTCGAACTTAACGATACACACATCTGTTGTCCGATAGCATCAGCAGGTTCGGCCATTCCCGAAATATAAAAGGCAACCCTCGTATAATGTTTATGATTTTTAAAACCACAAAATTTTTAAGCTTAAGTTTGAAAGCTAAAGCCACCCGTGTTTACGGTATACATTAAATACAACAAAACGCAAGAAATATTTTATAAAAGTAGAGATAATTTTAATAATTGACAGGTGTGCACGGGACAAGATAAATCTATTTTTTTTTCTTTTTAATGTATTACCTAATAAAAGAAGAATATTTTGGACAATTTTGATGCCAAAATATTATATAATAAATTATTTACAATTTTTTTATAGAAACAGTTTTGTAATTCGTACTTTCGCGCGCTAGAAATGGCCGTGTGGCATCCTGTTTTAAAAAAATCCGTTCATTTAGTTACATTAGCCAATACAAAGTATTCTACTAGTTCGGGGCTCAGTCGGGGATGCTTTTCATGGATCGATAGTTATCGGTAAAGTAGAAAACTCGGTAGTTACCGATTCCACGGCTTATAGGTAACTATCGATAGTTTTCCCATCCAAATTGATTGCAGGTTATTCGCTTTTTCAAAAATTCAATTTATACACTGTTTAAAATATCTGCGATGTAAAGAGTAATCTTAAAATGGTGTCAAAATCCAACACCAAGTGGTGTTAATATAACACCATGATTTATGGTTGAAAATGTTATATACAGCAAACACAAAAACGGTGTTTATCTAAAAATATTTGAAAAGTGCAAAGGCGGTGTGGATCACGTGATGTTATTTAATCTCGCCTCTGTTGACTTACATGAAGAATATATAAGCTCAGGTAGTCCTTTGACTGAAATAATACCACTGGTAATATACTAGTACTGCGTCAAGGAACTTTCTGTTTTTCCTTTTTTCTGTGTAGTATGATTTAATTTGACCACAAACACATAATATTTTACACTGAAAAGGAGTTCAATTTACACCAGGTAAAATTTATTTTAATAC